TTTTTTTCTTTTGGATCGCAGTCATAAGCTTTAAAAGTTCAGCAAGCATAGTTATCGGCGTGGCTCGTTGACTCTAGCTTCCTTTCCAAAAGGACAAGTAACTCAGACAAAAATATGTAGAGATAAGAAAACAAGCAAACACTCAAGTGAAGTAAGGAAAGGGTCTCTCTATATTTTGGAAGGGTGGTCTAACTTAAAATAATTATATTTCAGATATCGCTCACAAGCTTGCATAGGGTGAAGTATTTGTACGAAGAATTTCATTATTAGTTTCAAGAACTTTGCAGCTTGTTCACGTGCCATGATATTACAACGAAACAATTAACATTTTTTCAAAATCCCCGTTTAGGATGACGTATAGCCAGGTTAGTTTATTACCCTTTAAGTTACATCTAAGACTTGAAGGGTCATATTTTTAGGGCATGATTAATCACGTAACTGCTTAAAACTGAGTTAAACATCGGAAAGTTTTATTTCGTATCTAAATAAAAAATTAGAAGCCGTTTTGTTTTTTGAAGAAAAAGACCAAATCTAGAAAAAAACTGATCAAAACATCATATAAAAGCGAGACCCATACCTTAATTCAGGTGAGTAACAAAGAAAAACAACAACAAGAACATACCTGTGTGGAGTTGAGCAAAATGAAAACGTATCCCAAAGCAAGATGGAACTCGACAAAAAAGCCCACTACATATGTGACACCCAATAAGGGGAGTAGGGCGACAATGCTTCTTAGACCTCTCCTGAGAAGTTTGAAAATATGGGAGGCGTTGTTAAAACAAATAAAATTAAATGTAATTTCTTTAGTGAACGAAACATATAAGCTCGTGTTCCTTATACACAAAACTGACATGCTTTTGCGTTCAGCTATTGAAATCTCGATACTGTGGAGAACTGAAAAGACAACAGTTTTAATTAAAAAAGCAAGACACCATCTGTCGACATCTGCCTGCGTGGAACAGCCTGTTAACGCTATGGTAGTACCGGAGCCGGCTTAGAAATAGATCGATCATGTCACACTTTTTACCTTTAACTTCTAAGACAAAATAACTTAGAGTCAAAATAATGGTATTGGGTGTTCTCTCGTAGATGTGTTGTCCTCACACAGGTTCGTTTTATTAAGCCGAAGTCAAGGCATAAGTGATAATAACACTATGAAATAATATGTTTCAGCGCCGAATATTTAAATTGTTACAAAACCACATGTATTCCTTATATATGTAGTAGAAAAGAAGCTCCTCTATTAAATTTTCTTCAGTGACTTTAGTTTAACTATGGTTTGTTAGGACGCGTTAGTTTTATTATATCAGCTTACTTGGTGACTTTCAAGTGGTCGTTGCTGTATTTGCTAGCTATTTTCCCAAAGATTACACGGAGAAGAATCGCAAACAACATCATATTTGCCTGCCAGAAACAAAATAGTTCATTAATTTATTTATTTATTTATTAAAAATAACCTGAAAAACGTTATACTAGGCAATTCTCTAATAATTGAACCAGGGTTTCGAGGCAAGTTCAAATAGGGGAAGCTATGAGTGATGGAACTCTTATTGTTTATACTGTTGGTCGATCTTGGGATGCTGGATTGTGTCGCCATGAACGTTCAAGGGTTAATGAACTCTTTCACATACCACAAGTATGACTAGAATGGGTCCTTTATAAATCCATAGACTTCCGTTTATCCAGCATCTGTAAAAAGACAGAAGAACGACATATTGCAGCATAGCATTGCACTTTCTTTTTCAATGAAAGTCGTCGTCTGCTCTTTTTTTGACCAGTCGTCCAGACAAGCCAATGTAAGTTCAATTCGTTTTTCTTTCAGGTGATTTTAGTTTCATAGTTAATGTCACATTAACATAAAAATAATAGCATTGAATTACGGGCCGATTTACTGGTCTTAAGTTAGTAGGTATTTAGCCGTTGCTAAGTAAAATGCTTGGTAATATAACCGTGTCACAATTAGTCAAATCACAATTATTTTATGGATTTCAGCTTTGCACCTTTTGGACTTATTTTATTTCATACTGCATTTGAGTGGTTTTGTGTTTGGCGGCTTGGGCGTGGTCGTANCCAAACGTAGAAGTTTGTCCTGAAAGCCTCGGAGCCATGTTAAAATTTTGATATATCGAACGTTGGAGACAGCATTAAATATTCAAGAAAAAGAATTTTTGACTCCAAAAGCCATATCAGATTGTAAAGAGTGAAAAACATGAAACATTTTGCGTCTCCGACCTTTTAATTTGGCGCCAAAAATGGGTCGTCCGCGCTCGGCAATTAAACTCGCTCTTCGATCGCTGTCGCCAGATAGGATGATAGTTGTCACTTTGGACATTTTGAACAAAATATGCTGTTCCTCGTAGAGTTAATTAAAACCAGAATTCTTGAGTTGAGTATAAGATGAAGCCAAAGCAATTTAGAATTGACTTTATTTTTTGTTAGCTGTGAAGAAAAAGACTGTTATCGTGTCGTTTCAGTAGGACAACTAAGTTTTGACCACAGCTTGTACTGCGGGCGCAGCCACCGTATCCAAGGATTGCCTTGACTTTTCTTTATTGATTGATTGATTGCAATTGGTTGATTGACTTACGGTTTGATTGATTGATTGACTAAATTTTTTATTAACTACTCCCTAAGTTGTAGTGAATTATGAATTGTGATTTGAGTATTATCAGATCTAGACGCCCTTGAAACTTCATGATTCCATGGCCTGTATTCTTGAATGGCAATTCACAAGTACATTATAATGTTACTCAGTAAATTTTGTGGTTGAATCAGACGACAAAGGAAATATTTGCGAACTGTTGCCAGCAGATAAATATCAATTCTCAGTCTGGGCAATTTTAGCGAAACCATTCGTATTACCATTACAGTATTGCGGTAGGATCAGCAAACTACATTTTTCTAATACTTAAAACGAGGAAACTCCAAGAGTGCATGTATACTTCCATTGATGTTTATTATCAGTGTGCTAACTGCGAGTGACTCAATACTTCATTGTCACATCATTCGCCTTCTTCCTGTCTTCTGTAAGGAGGGAAAAAACACGATAAAAATTTGTTTACTGAATAGAGAGAGGGTCAACGTGTATACAACAATGCCGAGAACTATTGTGGGAAATAAAAGTTTACTGCTGTTGCACGGTGTTTCAGGAGACCGCGTAGACATGTGCATTCATTCTTTCTCCTTCCTTGTAGCTGTGAGCCTCAATCAAGTAATTATAAACTACCTATTCCGATAATTACGGCATTTTCGCTTAGGCTTGATACGCTTTGCTGTACAACCTTTGTTGAAACAGCTGTACATAGGCCCGGCTAGAGCTAGACTCTTATACAGCACACCACGCACAGAATAATGCAGCCAGAGGGAAGGTTGGTAATATGAAGAATTTGTGTCACCAGAGTTGCGTCAAATTTGACACTTCCTGACTGATGTGTGTCAGAAATTTTGCTTCATTTTGAAGGTGATCTTTCCAAATACTAGTTCACAATTATATCGGGATGAGACAAAAACGCTGGTTTTAGCAAGCGCGCATCATATACGCTCAACATAGATAGCACATCCCTTTGTCCTATTCAATGCATGTGTCAGTCGCCTTTCTTTCATTCTAGTCAACCCCCAAAACGCACAAAAATATCGTATAATTTGTTTCTTTAATATCTTAATACACCTTATTCCAAAATGGCCACCATTTAAATATTCTTTTGTTTTCTTACAAATTAGCCCTTGTTGTCTCGTTCTTAAACTCGAAATACAAAAGAAGATTTCCCTTAAACGAGGCAACAAGGGCTAATTTGGAAGTAAACAAAAGAACACTGGGATGGCGGCCATTTTGGAATAAGGTGTATAGATATCCACAGGAGAGGAATCTACTATACTCCTTTAAAAGAGCATAAAAAATGCTTTCTAGGAAGAAAAGTTTGCCGTCATGGAAGCTAGTGTTATTTATTTATTTATTGATTGATTGATTTTTTTTTTTTTTAAACTAATCGAATTAAATCTGACAAAAAAAGGGAAAAATGTTCAAAAGGCCAAAAAATAAATAAATAAATAAATAAATAATAATAATAATAATAGTAATTGTATATCCACTCTCCAGGTCACATTTGATGTAGTAAAGAGTCATTTTCCTAAAAGAATATTAACTCAGGCCTTACCAAAAATCTATTATCTCAACGAAATGAAGCTTTTTTTCCAAAGTTTCTGAGCTTTGCACTCCCAAAAACGATTCAATACACATAATTCAATAATAAGTTGAGATTCTGAACAGAAAAACAGCGATCCGAAGCGAATTTAGTAGCATTTAAACAACATGCGTGCATATTGCGAAACACCTGTGAAGCTGTCGTGAAGGGTCGCTCAAGACCGTTTACCTCAAATTTTCGTTTCTAATTTCGAGCTGATCATAAAACTACTTTGGTATTTACTTTTAATACCTTGAGGATTCTTGTCAGCTTCAAAAAACAACTTCTGGATCTTTACAAATCGCCCAAATTGGGCAAATCGCTCGATCAACAATGCCGGCCAGTTTGAATGCTTGATCTTAGAAAAATTGTCGTGTAGGCCACATTGAACTGTCTTAACTCAAATATGCAGAGAGACTAGTTTTAAAATTCTCTTTGTCACGCACTCTACCAAATCTTAGCGCCATCAAATGAAAGAGGAATTTTCGCGAATTTGATTAATTTACCAGATGGTAAAGTCTGGTTTTTAAAGGACCGGACTAGAATGAGAATTGAATTCATTCAAATTTCTTTCATGGTGTTTCGAATAGCAGTAGTAGTTTTGATGGCCAGAAAGTAAAGATTTACGAAAGGAATCTGACGGAATATGATTCTATCACATCAATGGAATACAATGGCACAGTTTGAACAAACTTTTGATTTGTGTCAATTGCACTAGATGAGAAGCATCTTGAAGAATAGCAAGTAAGCAATAGAAACAAAAACAAACCAACAACAAGAATCATGAAAAACATTGTTACCTAAAGCACACCAATATCATACAGGAGTTTCTTTCCACAACAGGTTTTGTATTGGGATTGGAGGCTGGTGTTGTCCTTGTCTTAGAATCTGCTCTGCATTTTACAAACAACTTCCGAGTGGCATCCTGCACCTTAAAGACATTGAAATAAGAATCAGTACCGTTTCTGTTTTCCTGAGTATTTTAAGCGAGCATGATAGGATTTAGCCTGATTCCCAGACAGTCCAGGTGGGGACCATTGTAATAAGACTTGTGAAAAGTATTTTGAATTTAATAACTAGCCCTCAGCTTTGTCAATAAGATGGGATGTTTTTGTTGGCCATAACGCCGTGCAACGTCTTATCAAGTCCGACACCTTGGATCTGGGACCTTAAATTTTATTTAATGTCAAGTGAAATGATGCAAAGAGGTACACATTCTGCAATACTGCCAAAGAAAAGAGTAAAAAGAGTTTCGTCCAAGAAGTGAAGTTTGACTTGACCTAATTAAGGTCAGTGAAAAGGCGGTTGCTATGGCAATTTCAAACTTCTACAAAAAAACAAAAAACAAAAAACAAAAAACAAAAAACAAAAAACAAAAAACAAAAAACAAAAAACAAAAAACAAAAAAACTTTCAGGATGGTGGTGGCATCCTTCCCCAACCCCGAAGCATGAATTCTTTCCCCTTCCCCTTGCACACCATTTACTTATGTTACCTGATCATCAAGGACACAATGAAAGATGAAAAACACAACTCCCTGTAGAAATACAAGAACAACGTAAAAGACTAAGTTAGTTTATGACGTTTAAATGAATAAAATTTTCTCAGACAACGCTGCAGTTATTGTTTTAGAACAGATTAAGGTATCTGGCTAAAAAAAAAACAAAAACAAAAAGAAACGAAACAAACAAACAAACAAAATAAAAAAACAACAACAAAATATTAGGGAATGAGAGAATTGTGCCAATCTTTGCCTTCAAATTGTGGAAAGAAGATATCTTAGTATTCCAACAACTTTTTTCGTTTAATTTTCTTTATTGCAGTCACAAACTTGAAAAGATCAGCGAGCAGAGTTATCGGCGTGGGATTTGACTCTAGTTTTACGTTTCCAATCACGATATACTTTCGTATACTTTCGTATGCTTCTTTCGTATACTTCTTTCAGTAGAAAGCATCAAAGAATTCACCGTGGGTCAAAAGCAAGAAAACAACGCGAAGAAAACAAAGAACGATATAAGTTTATCAGTAAAATGTTTTCTTCGAGTTTCCAGCGTTTCTAGGGGACGTTGATTAAAGATGCTCAGTTGTTTTCAAATCCGAAGATGAATCTTACTGACTGAGAGTGATATACATCCCGCACTATTCAAACACATCATGGACATATATCGGTGAAAAGGACAACTTACCAGAACGAGATCAAAACACATACCTGTGTGGAGGTGAGCAATATGTAAACGTATTCCAAAGCAAGATGGAACTCGATAAAAAATCCAACAACATATGTGACACCCAGCAGGGGGAGAAGGGCGAAAATGCTTTTCAGACTTTTCCTGTAAAGTTTGAAAATATGGGAGGCGTCTTAAAAATAAAATTAATGCAATTTATTTAGGTGACAAAAGATATAAGCTTGTGTCCCTTCTACGCGAAACTGGCATAGACAATGAGCAAGCTTTCGCTTCCACCATCGAAATCTCGATACTATGGGAAACTGAGAAGATAACAGTTTTAAAACATAGAAAAAAAAAAAAACTATATATATGTTACCCTCTATTTATATTATATCTAGTACTTGGATGTTTTATTTTTGTAAAATTTATGTTGTACCAGGGCTCCATTTAAACCAGCTACACTAAGCTGGATGCCTCTGAATAAATACTGATTTAAGTAATTAAATGAATAAAAATAAAATATAGAAAAAACGCCATGTGGCTTTACCGAACAACCTGTTCACTTTACGGTAGTACCGGCTTAGAAATAGATTGATCATGTCACTATTTAATTTACATCTAGTTATACGGTAAAATAACTTAGAGGTGAAATGGTAATTGTTGTCTTGTAGATTTTCTGACCACACACAGGCTTGTTGCAGAAGTCAAAAGCATAAGTAGTTAATGGTAGTTCACTTTAGTTTTTTTTAGATAAGCTTACTTAGTGATTTTCAAGTGGTCGTTGCTGTTCTTGGCAGCTATTTTCCCAAAGATCACACGAAGAAGTATCGCAAACAACACCATATTTGCCTGACAGAAACAAAAAAAAAAAAAATAGAAGGAAAACTAAATTGAGAAACATTATGCGGGGGACTCTCCAATAAATGAACAAGGGTTTCCAGGTAAGTTGAAAAAGGGGAAGCTGAGGAAGATCGAGGGTCATCGTGGATTGTTTGTGATTCCGTGTAAGTGTAAGGGTTAACGAACTCTTTGACATACCACAAGGATGACTAAGATGGGTCCTTTATAAATCCACAGACTTCCGTTTATCCAGCATCTGTAAAAAGACAGAAAAACGACATATTGCAACATAGCGTTGCATTTTATTCAATAAAATTGTTGTCATGTGCTCCTTTTTGAACCGGTCCACCAGGCAAGTCAATATTTAATTCGTACTTTCGTTTGATTTGTTTTAGTTTCGTAGTTAATTTCACATTAAGATAATAATAATAATAATGAAAAAAATGGCATTGAATTACAGGCCGATCAACTGATCTTAAGAAAGACGTACTAAACTGTTGCGAAGTAAAGTGTGTCACAACTAGTCATATCACAATTATCTTATGGGTTGAACCTTTTGGACTTACTCGGAAAAGGGAACAGAAATGGCTCGTCAGGTTATTACGTCGTTTCGCTATAAATTTAAGTGATTTTATGTTTGGCCAAGCCAAAAAAATGTGACCTTAGTAACGGCTTAGGCGTTGTCGTAGTCGTGGCGAGGCTCTCATCTATCACACCAAATGCCGCAAAAGATGATTTGCTGGGAACGAGAAAAGATGTCCGTGACCCTCTAAAATACGAGTGCAAGCTCCGCATCAGGACTAATCGCCATTTCACAGGGCTTTAAGAACGCCTACATAACTGCTTCCTAAATTAATGCTTAGGAACCTTAAAAGCTAAGGGAAAAGAAGAGTCATACCTGACTCGCTGTATCTCAGCAGTAAAGTGTAATGAACCACACGTGATGTCTTTATATTGAGCCTTTCCCATATCAAAGGTATTGGGTCTTATAGCTGCTATTAATCCAACTATGATGACCGGAATTCCTGGGGTAAGAGAGACAAAACAAATAGAGTCTGCTATTTCCTCAGATATTTTTCGCATATTTTGCGACGGTTACTTCGTTGACTGTCTTTGCCATATGACCCGTACGGCCTCGCGCGCAATTTCCTTGGAAAACCATAAGAAAAACACTTGAAGGTCCCTCATGAGGGCCGTAAGCGTCGAAGTGACAGGGCCGGAAAAACGTATACGGCCCTACTAGAAATGCGTGCGGCAAAATCGACACGAGTTAGCGACAAAAACAATTTTGCTGTTACAACATTTGTTTTCTTCAAAATGAGTGATGGAAGTGAACATTCTGATAGCGAATTTTACTATCCAGGCGAACTGTCCGATGCAGAACTACTTCAGTCACACTCACTCCGAAAGCACAGAAAGAAAGTCAACACTCCTCACAAATGTAGAAGTTGACAACTTTCTCTGAAGCCAACAACAAGCAAACAGACGGTCAAGAAAACAACTTTTCCAGAAGAACTGTTCGATAATTAACCTTTTGGAATAAGCAAATAGTCTTGAGGCGAAACTTCTTTCACAAGAAAGCATCAAAAAATTCATCCTGGGTCAAAAGTAAGAAAACAACTCAAAGAAAACAAAGCACGATACAAGCTTATTATTAAAATGTTTTCTTCGAGTTTCCAGAGTTTCTAGGGGAAGCTACTTAAATCAGAGAAATCACAAACATGCCTTATGTACAGTAGGATAAATTGCCCTGCAGTTTCTCCATCAGTGTTGTTAAAAGAGATAAAACAGAGTACGAACACAAGTTCATTTCCGTACAGTTAATCCAGATAATAAAAGTGGCTTGTTTCTTCTTTATTTGTTATACCTGCTTTATTTGTGTTATTTATTAATGATATGCCAAGTGTGTTATCCCACTCAAGTACATTGGCTTTATTTGCTGACGATGCTAAGTGCTTCNGAAAACTGGATCAGTCTGGAATTAAGGGACCATTTTTACATTGGTTCATAAGTTATCTTGGCAATAGGCTGCAGCGTGTGGTAATAGATGGCGAGAGTTCGGATTGGTTACCTATTACCTCAGGAGTCCCACAGGGTTCTCTCCTTGGACCTGCTTTATTTGTGTTATTTATTAATGATATGCCAAGTGTGTTATCCCACTCAAGTACATTGGCTTTATTTGCTGACGATGCTAAGTGCTTCCGTGCTATAAGATCTCGCACAGACTTTGCTTTGCTACTAGACGACATTGACAAGCTGGTTGATCGGAGTGACAACTGGAAGCTGGCCTTAAATATTCATAAATGGTCTCTCTGCAAAGTAACAAGGAAGCTCAACTCCATAATTTGTACCTACAAAATGGGAGGGAAGATTCCAAGAGAATCCAAGAGAATCCAAGAGAATCCAAGAGGTCGACAAGTAGCTCGAAACGACGCCGACATTTATTGAGTGAAGCCTGACGCGAACTTTTGTCACTCGCTAAGTTTTTGATGGTTTTGACAAAATTTTTGGCAGCTTTATGCCAACTTTCTGTTGGTTTTTTGAACAGTTTAGCCAATCCTATACGCTGAAAAACAAAAATGAGAAAGCCAGTCGTGTTTTTCGATGAACTGTGAGTTTCTTGATCGACGCGAATAAATAAATGACAAGTTTTTATTTTAGAATCCCTTTTGTAGTTGTTCCTAGCGCGACCGACTGGTGTTATTTAATCGCGTCCTATTTTATTTCAAACAGAATTTTCACAATTTTCAACACTAAGTGATCATATGATAAAATGCTTATCGAGTGAGTTAGGTCGGGCCGGACGGGAAAATATTTGGCTTTCAGTCCGGACGCACTGACCTCGAGCCAAATATTTTCCCGTCCGGCCCTCCCTCTTAGTCAATAAGTACTTTTTTTTTGGTTTCTTCTGTTAGAATATGTATCCAGAAACGATATCATCGAAATATCTGATTGGAATTCCAGCCATATTTACCCCATCCTATCGCCAAGTATGCAACGTACTGTCTTTTCACTGGGAAAACTTTAACCAACTTGATGTACAGGTTTATTCCTTCCACAAGCATCCACGTGAATAACGCAGTGTAAAATAAGAACTGACAGACTGTCACAACCGAACACATAACCTGCAAAATCAAACACATAATTGCAAATGATGGAATACTCAGATGCTATTGGTTCATACATTAATTAAAAGTTGCAGCTCTTATGTTCTTGCGGCTACCAGCTTTAGCCAGTCACCAGTATGTCATCCAGTCACGATTATGTCATTTCGAGCCTTCAATTTCGAGTTTTGCAGAAACATGGCGCTACAGTCGACGCTACGAACGTCTACGATATCTGGCCGCTATCATCTAAAGTTAAAATGTAGGACTATGCAGATTCGTTTTCCCACGCGCTTCGCCACGACGTGACAGTCAACGTGACATCGTTTGGATATATAGTTGAGTAGGCGCAATGTTTTTTTCAGTCTTCTGTCTTCCTTTCTCATATAATCAGGCGCAGCTTTCACCAAATGTGCCAAAGTATTGTTCTCGAAAAATCTTGCAAGAATTTGAGCGGTTTCCGAAAGTTTTGATAAGAAATACGATTCTTACGTGCTTTGAAAGCATCTATCGAGCAAATAAAATGCACATTTGCAAACTGATGTTTTTTTAGTTTTTTAGACCTGGAATCTAATGTAATGAATACTTGTTTCAATTACAAATGGACATTGAAATATTCACCTAAAGTCAGGGTTCCTCTACAGGATTCTAAAACGCTCTGCTGCTAAAAAGCCATCTTATCGAATAAGGTTCGCACAAGTTCTTTCTACAGAAATTCTGACAGATCAGAGATGTTTGTTTCATATACATACAAAGAAAAATTAAATCAGCGTCGTCTGTTCATCTTCGTTTAAGATAAGATTTCTACCGTTCCTAAAGGATGTCACTGGTTTCGTGAAAAGCTCAGTTTTATGAAGCTCGAGTTATTGACGTCGCCGTCCTAGACGAAAGATATATTTTGTCTTTGGCGAGAATACATAACTGGCGACAAAGTTTCCCCCGTCCACCTCCGTTCCCCTCCTGGCGTTCCTGTCCTCGCATCGTAGGATCCCTAATGCTACCCACAAAGATGCAGAACACATATGTGTCAAGCACTAAAATTTAAAAGAATACTTTACCATAAAACTACAACTCCGCAACTCTTTTTTGCCCCATGGTAGTTATTTACCACCCAGTAACCACATGTCTCTTAGAGGGCTTTTTTTTTTCCTTTGTCTCGTCAGCATTAGAGTGTCAGTTTTTCTTTTTTTTCTTTTTTTTTCTTTCAAACTGCAATTCCAGAGTAGATCACGTGTGAAAGACGCTACTTGTTTGAAGCAGGATTTTCGAACTTTTAAACATACCACATGATCCCGTCTTGAAGCAAACAAGCTTTTGTCCAAAACATATACGAGATTTCCAAGACCCAGGGACAAGAGGAGATTCTTGTGTATAAACAGCTTCTCTGACGTTTTAAGCCTGTGTAGTGGAATCAAGCTCATGTTAATGTTATAAATATTAACTATAGATTCGAACTTGGCATCTGTTTTCTATCTTGTAACTTGTGAGTCTTGTTTCGGAAATCTCCACGTCTATTTCATTTTTTTTTTTTATCTCGTTCAATTTTTACTCCATGGATGGGGTTGTTAAGGCTCAGTTGCCTCAAATAACCTTATCAAAAAATTGCAAGTAATAGATAGTACTGTTCTACAAAGATGGGGCACGAAAAAAAAAACAAAAGCATAAAACAAAAAACAAATGGCAAATCGAACCAGAAGATATTTGGTTGGAGCTGGGGAGGGGAAGGAAAACTTGAAAGTTAAGATTGGAGGTACCGTTACTACTGAATGATAAGGAGGCCGAAAATAGCAGTGCAGGCAAGCAAACTTAGTAACATTGAACCTGCCTACTTGTCTCTAATTGTTGACTCCTAAGTGATATGCCATTTCCTGCTCCACCTTGAAAACTGAGACACGTATGAAACAAAATTGGCTCAATATAAAATTACATTATGTGCAGCATAAAATGTTTGTTTTACCTCAGTGTTGTCAACAATATGAACGCCAGAATAACGGCTGATATTGAAATACATAACAGCACTAGCTCCAACTTGCTTTGAATTTTCTCGTGCCTGAAAGATTCCTTTGACCCGTCTTGATTGTAAACAAAAAGGCCCGTTTCCTTAGAAACAACAACAAAAATATAATGATAGAAAAACATACAAAATAGAAGAGTGTGAATTGGTCCAACAGAAACATCTACACCATGAAAACGAAGTAAAATCTAAGACAAGGTATCAATGAATGGAGCTGTGAAGCTGTTAGGCACAGCCAGGTAACAAAACACCTCAAGGAAACAAAGAAATAGAACACTTTTTGTTTGAGCGTTTCTATCAATCCCCTCCTCTTCTATTGTGCTAGGGCCCGTTTACATGGTAAGAGGATGATCCTAGTGCTAGGATCATCTTAGGACTAAGATCATCCGAGCGCGGTATGTTTTCAGCTTTCAGTTTACATGTGAAGGGTTGTATTTGACCCCAGTGCTAGGATCATCCTACCGCTAGGATAATCTTANCGTCTGATCTTCCTCCTCGCTATTTGAAACCTGGAAATGGTGGCAGTGTGATTTAGTTGGAGAATCATAGATCGCTGTTGCTGTGTTTGAAATATCGAGTTTTATATAATGGCAAATTGAAGCTGAAAGGCAGTTATCAACGCCAGAAAAGACAGAAGAACTCCTAAAACTCCTAACACTAGGATCATCCTCTTTCCATGTAAACGGGCCCTTAGAGTCGAGAGGGTAATGCTATGAGAACACTAGCCGCGGAAGGGTGTTTCCACAGGTTTTTTGAGCTCTGACAAGCTTTCACAAGTGTTTCAATTGCTGATAAAAGAAACACTGAGAAAATACGGCAGGAAAAAAAGGGGAAATTGCTAGTTAAATTTGATTATCTGGCGGCGTCTTTCTGTCAACGTTTCAGGTTAGTTCTTTGTTCCTGTCGACTTTGTGGAAGTGGGGCTCTTATCATTTAACGCGCTCATTTTTTTGCAGGTAAAATGCATTTGGTAAGACTGCAGCTCCTATCTCTTCTGATGGGTATTTGAGAGAAAATCTCCAATAACGTGAAGCCAGTCGTGGCACATGATGAAAAATCGAAATTTTTCATATTCCTCCCAGAGATAGCATATGGTAAACCTAGAAACGTGGTAGGATTTTTTTTCTCTAAATAGTTGTTTTAAACCCACCAAAAAAATCACAAATTCGTTACCGTCCCACGTCTGGTCAAAAACACGCAAAATTTATTAGTGACCCATACCTTATCATAAACTTCGCTCCGTTCAATCCGCAACACAATAACACTACAGTTTGAGCCTGAACATTTATTTTTGATGGGTTTACAAGTCTTTTGAGGCCAATTAAACTTCTGTGGGTTAATTTTCAAGGTAATGACGAGCTGCTTAAAATCACCAAAATTCGGTTCCTTAAAATTCTACTTATGCACACTTTTCGCAATCGCAAATTCACTACCCGGTAGAACTCCAAAACACCTAAAATTGTGACAACCCATTTCAAACGAAGAAATATCAGTGTAAAACCTGGTGTAAAAGTTATTTTCGCGCTTTTCATCAGCACTGGGTACTAACGCTCTCAAAATATTTAACAATTATTCACCGAAGTGGAGGTAAATATCCATCACTTTCACCGACACTGAGGTGAATAATTGTTTTGGTATATACCACACAAGCTGAATAATTAGAGGACCAAAACGTTATTTTATGTGTGACAAGCGGTCGGAAATTTTAAAATCTCTCGCGCCGGCTGCTCGGAGGTGAATAGTACTTGCTAATCACCTCCGAGTTAACCAATCAGAACGCGTGAAAAGCACTATTCACTTGTGTGGTATATACTAAATCGTGATAATCACAACACCAACCTGCTAGAAACGAAATCAATAGGCAAGTGCCTGTCACCAGATAATTAAAAGGATCCGTGTTTGGACTAAAACTATGGCAGAAAATTCATGTTTAGCTCACCTTCTGTAAGATATTACATTCAAATATTATGTGCTGGTGTATTCAGAATCTTACACGATAACCATTGCGACGCGTGGAGTTAAGCGAAGTACATCATCTTCTTGTTCGATCAATGACTGCGAGATAACAATGACTGCGAGATAATCCACCACATTCCTATCCCTTGTTCTTAAACAGCAATCCATCAAAGTAGTGAAGCTTTCCAGCGTCAGTCCCTTGCTTGCTAAAGCGAAATAGTTATGTTTTGTTATTCTCGNTATCCCTTGTTCTTAAACAGCAATCCATCAAAGTAGTGAAGCTTTCCAGCGTCAGTCCCTTGCTTGCTAAAGCGAAATAGTTATGTTTTGTTATTCTCGCTCATATTTGCTGCACGCTAAAATGTAAATATGGCGTCCGATGTCGACTAATTTGTCTGTGACGCAATGGTCACTGGATAGCATTTTGCCATGCGTGAGCTGTTTATGTCTTAAAAAAGTGTAGATTTTGACCATATTGGTCTGAAGTAGGTTGTGTTTTTTACTCTGGCTTGGCATTGAGTATTTTGTTTACAAGGAACCGGTTATTTCCACATTAACATTGGTAAGTTTGTAGCCCTTCTCAAATGTTTACGCAGATGGGGCCTTTTCCTAGTTTGCGACGGTCATATATTAGAGCCGCTTACTAATTTTATAGGTCCGATCAATTTGGCTACCGATGGGTGGCCAAAGGGAGAAAAACTTCCGCGGACTTCCCTGTAAATATTGATCTCGACCACAGTGAATGTAGGCCATCGCAAGTCCTTACGTCTACTATCGACTCGTTAGCGACTCCGGTCGACCAATACTTCACGTCTTGAGAAAAATATAATAAAAAAAAAGTTTCTCGATGGAGCTGATCTCACTGCCAGAATCGATAAAGATTATCAGAGCGGATTCACAGCCACCTTAACTTTTCCAAAAATTTGAGGTGGTCCTCAATCTGCTTCCAACATTTTTTTACACTTACCAAAAACTTAAAACCTCACACGCTAGTTAGAATTCTATTACAAAAGGGTTACAAGAGTCGTTTTTGAGTTACAAACCTATAAATCTAAAATTAAGGGTGTTTTAAATGGGCTATTCGTTTGCAACATTAATCATTTGCGTCACTAAAATGGCCAGCACTTGCCTAACAATTTGGGCATTTGTTTGATACAATTTTTGTAGCATCAGTGGGAGGCGGGTAGCCACATGCCGGATCGAGCGTTCCTGGTTCGAGCCCTGGCCAGTGACATTGTGTTGTTTTCTTGGGCAGGCCACTTTACTCTCATATTGCCTCTCTCCACTCAGGTGTATAGATGGGTACCGGCAGGAGCATGATCCTGGTACGATCCTGTTACCGGCAAACTTAATGCTAGGGGTAGCCCTTCGATGGACTGGCATCCCATCTAGAGGGAAGTATAAATAACCCTAGTCGCTTCATGCTATAGAAACCGAGATAAGCTCCGGCCTGATGAGCCACTAGGTTCGTATTTAGACTTAACTTACCTTAAAACTTAAAACTAATCTTGATCCAGCAAAGGAGAAATTCTGGAAAATGCTGCAAATCGTTATGAGCCACATAAGTACCATACGAAAACAGACCATGCCACTGTGGGATTCATCTCGTTAAGGAGAAAAAAATATTCTCAAAAAGCTGAAAGATTAAATTCACGCCTTGAAATGTCTCCGTCTTGTAAATATATTTATTAACAAATATGAAACGACGTAAAAAGAGAAATATGCATTTGATGGTTCTTTGTACACTCAATACGTGACAATTTTATCAGTTTTATCACTTCTCGCGTTGCGTGTGAAACAAAGAAAACTTGCTTTACACCGCTAGGTTACAAAAATAAGGTTATGTACTGGGAGAAATGTGGGCATGGTGAGTAGTTGTAGAATATGGATTGTATCACAGCAGTCTTTTTTCCTGTTTGAAATCATTGCATGAAAGGGTTTTTTGCAGAACCCCGGCGCTGAAACATGAGACCACCAAATAACGTAAAACGAGTGACTGAAAATGTGAAGAAACAGTTTGTAGGAAAAAGTGTAATATACACTGAAAAACTCACTATTGTAGTGGAAAGGTAACTTGTGTAAGACGGAATCCACCAGAAGTTCGAGTAACAAGTGGACAAAAACCTAGTACCAAGATTATTTACATCGTATTGAAACTTCTGTACGACTGTTTTAAATATTCTCTCAAAAAAAAATCATTTCTAGCAACACCAAACGTCGAAAACGAATGTGGAACTTCGTACGAAACAGTTGAAAGTACTGATGAAATGAAACTTTTGATGAAATTTTGCCTGTGTTTGCACAAGCTCTCTGAAATTTACTTTCTCTCGTTCCCCTTGGGAATTGTTTTCGGCGTTATTTCAAGCAATTATCTATGTATTTCGCTTTAAGAAATTGTAAAAATGACAGTCAAATACTTAAAATTATTCTGGTACCAGATTTTTGTCCACCAAAACCTGAAATTGCTCGATTTTCTAGCGGATTTCGTCTTAAAACGAATGGGCACCCTTTTTGTTTCAACTGTTAAAATCATTGAAGGGGAAACTTCTGTGCACATTATGTTGCAGATGGGATAAAATTAAACGTTACTGTGGCTGTATAGGCGCCTGTCAAAACATGGTTTCCATTGTCTCACTTATTTGCATCGTTTATGATTGAATTGTGTGATATCTTTTCGTTAGACAACCATTCAATCTGTGCAGATTTCTTGCGATTTCTGGCGCTCCTGGCTGCAATATTTCACGGGTCACGTTTGGATTCTTTTAAAAATCTCCTTATCACTTACCGCGCGAGGGGTCGCAGAGATGTGTTCTCATAGCTTTAAAATAAAAATTGTTGGCTTTATACGTCTTATTAAATCTTTCGATTCAGTTTTTGGCAACGCGTGACAAAATCCTATCAAGGGCCATTGCGTGATAGACAAATTAGTCGACATCGAAGCCGTATTTACATTTTAGCGCGCAGCATGAGCGAGGATAACAGCACATAAGTATTTCACATTAGCAAGCAAGGGACTGACGCTGGAAAGCTTCACTACTTTGATGGATTGCTGTTTAAGAACAAGGGATAGGAATGTGGTGGATTATCTCGTAGTCATTGACTGAATGTCAATAAGAAGACCAAGTACATT